TCTATATATGCCAGCATGTGACAGCAGCTCTACAGACACATTAAAGGAGAAACAAATGTTTTCACAAAACATTTGTCAAATGTTGCTGACTGTGAGGAAACTGTGCTGCACTAACCAAAAAGTTTGTTTGAAATCAGGATATAAGAGTTTGTTTTAAGTCAATAATTCCATAATGATAATAATAGCAATTACAATAATAAAGTATTCATTCTACTGTTTTTTTTTTCACGTTTAACAAACTATGTAACTCTTAAAAATCTGCCATTATAGCTACTTTTATTATTATTACACTAAGGAATTATTAGTACTTATTAATTAAAACAAGCTTCTATATCTTGCTGAAAAGCTACTTAGAAGCTACTTTTGTCTCATTTCAAGTTTAATTACAAGTTAACTGGTTTAATAAAAACCTTCAGGATCTGGTCTTTTTCCCTTCATCACGAGTTAAACGTTTCAGCCGACTGCTTACGTTCGTCTGCATTGTCTGCAGAAAGAATGGTTCAGATAAATCACGTCTATTGAAAAATGAACGTGACATTCAGGACCAAGATGATTGCATGTAAGCTGCTCGGCGGCACCGCGGCTCAGGCGACGCCAGTTGCCCGGCGGCGCTTTTCCAAATGAGCTGCAGCAGAGAGCAGATGCTGGATGGTTGCACCTCTCATGACTAACTGTCACATTTATTTGTCCACACACATCAGCTCGAGGCTGAACACACACACACACACACACACACTGATTTCACACAAGGACTAATGGCTATGTGTTTACGTAAGAATCTGCACTAACATGATCGCCATTTGCTAAGATAAATGAGTCTTTGTCTTTCTCACCGATGGCAGAAACAACTGAAACTGAAGGTGAAGGCTGCAAGGCAGAAATGATTTTTGAAAAACCAAAAAGTATTTGCTTTGTTTTTAGTTTTTAAATGATACATCGAGAAAATAAATCACCAAGTCTAGCCGTGACATTTCTACACCTGAAGTACATAATTTTCATTAAAAAATATATATATTGTTTTCTTTATTTGTTAAGGCTGTCACCATATCTGTGAAAAGATCCATCTCCTCCATGAGCTGCTACTGCTGTCTAAAGAAATGCAGCGCTCCCGGTCAGAAACAACCAATCAGAGTCAGGAGGAGGGGCCTATCGCTGTCACTCAACTCATGTACGTGCTGCTAAACGTTCTAATGGTTGAGAAGCAGCTGCCACTGTCATCGGTGGCTATGCTAACTAGTTAGAAGCTGTAGCTTAGCAGAAAGCTACGGGTGGGAGTGATATGAGCGCCGTGTACACAAGTGTTATTGGCACAGCAACACCCCTCCCCCTGCCTCTGATTGGTTGTTTCTGACTGAGCGGAAAATTTCTGGCAGCACTGGGAGAAGGCAGAGGAGTTTAATTCTTCTTCATGGAATATTTGTCCTATGCTGTCATGACAAAGTAACAGTTTTAACAAATATGTAAGAAATAAGTATATTTAGTAATAAAAATTACATACTGTAGCAGAGATTTGAAGTTATTTTTACGGTTTTCAATTTCTATTTTACTCAGATGGTGATAATATCTGTCATGTACTGAACCTGTGATCTGCCTTGACAGTCTGTATTACTGATTAAAACACTAAATGGACATAAGGTGAATGGAGTTTTTAACAATCAAACCAACAGTAAGCTTTAATGGACATAATTCCAGTTCAGAAAACTGATATATATCATTAAAAAAAAATAAACAGAAGAAAGGAGCAACTTAAGAACCACAAAAATGTAGAACTGAATTTGTTTGTGTTCCTCAGCTTCATTCTGTTACCTCCGTGATGAAGCACAAAGTCTTAATGAGAAACTTAATGGAGCCAGAAATAACGAGATCTGCATGTTATCGACTCAGAAAGCGTTTCCTTCGCCTCTCTTTGATTCCTCCCTCAGCAGAATGCCGCTCACCTCTTGACGTTCCCGTTCATTTTGCAGAGGTGTAATGTGAGAGTGTGTGTTTGCGTGTGTGTGTGTGCGTGTTCGTGTGTGTGTGGGCATGCATTGTTGTTTGAGCTGTGTGTCCAGGATGGACTGCGGACCCGTCCTGGTTGAGTCTCTGCCTCTCACCCAGTCACAGCGGGAATCAGTCACCAAAACTTTACTTGTTGGAAGAAAAGATGTTTGTTTCTGGACTGTTTAAAGTTCAGACCTTCATCTCTCAGAGATCATTTCAGAAATCTTCATAAACACCATGTGATGTGAGTGGGCAGCTGCAGCCCACTCACATTCCTGCGTTTATAAGACATCAAGGCTGTTTTCAGTGAAACATTGCAGATCTCTTTGTTGTGGAAAAAGCAGTCGGGCTAATTATTAAGTGCCTGCTACCAGGGGATATCTCCATAATTGAATTGTGAGTCTCTCTCCGGCCGGCATTCTGAAGAGCGTCGGGCCTGATATGCTGCCGGTGTCCATGGTGACTCCTGGATTCTGCTCTGCATCTGGAGAGGAGATGCACAGCTGGCGGTTTCATTTTCTGATAGGTGTTGATAGCTCTCCCAGGGATTCAGGAAAGCCTTCAGTCATTTTGGGCCTGTTTATCTGAAACGCCACAGTGAACTTTTCTGAAGCACTCTTTGGCTTTCAACTCAATCACAGTCATGAAGGATGGATTTTTAAATCCCATCAATCTGAAACTATTTACTGCTGCAACCAGGAAATCCAGACAGAGCTGTTCTTTACTAAATATTTAGTCAATTTACTTTTTGTATATAGCTTTGAACAACTTGAAATAATTGTGTTAGGCAATTATTAATAAATGTATCTTTTACATCAGTTAAGTTATTCTGAAACCCAATGCCCTTTGCCTCTCGTTGCCTCCGTCACACTCATTTCTAAATCTGACAGTATTCATTTTTTTACAGCCACAACCTGAATTGACTCGTCAATTTGTCAAGAATATTAGATGGAATCATCATTACTTTTCCATCGGCTTGGAAGACCGTAAATTACTGAAATCCCCAAATAATTTTTGCTCTAGATTCTGAAGAAAGACAAAACAAACTTAAAAGTAACTTTTGAGCAAGTTTTAGAACCTTGTTTTAATTTTTCAAAAGATTAAAACATTCCTTTGACATTTCATTTTTCTTCTAACAAGACATTTTTTGTAGATTACGAGTTGAATTTTACAACATTTTATAACATGGGAGTTATTGACTTGAAATTCAAAAATCCCCATTATTAACTCTTTCTGCTTCCTGAAAAGTGACTTGTGAATTAGTTTAGTCTCATTTCAAGTGAACTAAGACATTTGCACTGGACATGAGACCAGAAATACTTGTTAATATTTTGAGGTTTTTTCAGGTCTTTAGAATAATATTGATGCAATCAAGAAAGAGATTCAGCAATTAGTGAGTTTTCAGCAAATAATTTGGAGTTGCAGAAAATAAAAAAAGTCCACAAATAATAAACCTTGAATGGTCAAAGATTCACTGTATGCAAGAATCGAATGGAGACCTGAATGCACATGACAGCAGATTCTTCTTTAAGAGTGTAAAATCAAGGTCCAGAAAAAGATCATGTCATCCGTGCAGCAGTTGAAACCTAAAGTCTGGTCGATAATTTGGATTTACGTGTGAAATCACACACACACAAAAACTGTCAAAGAACAAATTGCCGTTCGATTTTGAATACTGATCCCTGTAGTTTACAGAAACAGATAAAACACTCGAATAGCTCTGAGTCCAAAGACAGTTTTATTTCCTCTTCGGCGTCAGTGATGCAATGATGCACCTTAAAAGACGGAAACATTTTAAGAGCACAGACGCTAATCTGCTCGCAAATGAACTGCAGACGTGAGATGAGAATGAGGAAATCGACCTTAATGGCACAATTTAAGTCAGAATGTGCACAAGGCCAAACACGCCATCTGCCACCGGAGTTTTCTCCATCAGCTACTGACAAACGACAAGGAAAGAGAGAAAATCATCAAGAGTGCAGAGATGCATGGAAACCAAGCAACTCCTACCGACGACTCTACTGCAGAGCCTCAGTGCACCGAATAACAGGCTTCATACCATCCAACCAGAAAATGTTAGCTTGCAGTCATCTCATAATTCAGCCAGCACAAAAGCCTATGACAGAAACAAGCGTTCACACACACTCACATGCTAAACTACCACATGCTATTATCAGGTGATTCAAAGTAAAGGTTTAAACTGATTCCCTTCTGCTAATCTTTTAGAGAATGCTCATTGACTAACAGCTTAGCTAACAGCTTAGCTAACAGCAACGTTTCTGTTGTCTTCACAAGCTAAAGTTAGCATTTTAGCATCTCAAAGTTGTTTCACTCATCCAATCGTTCATTTGAATCAGCTACTAACTTCAGTATCAGTTTAGTTGACTCTCCTATGTTTGATGGTAACATGTCCGTCTCTGAGGGGTTTTTTTGTTGTTGTTGATGCATTGCATAGTGCAGGTCTTATTCTAGTACAGCCTCTTTGTTTCATAAGTTCAAATCTAAAAACTTGGAAATAGAAAACCATTCGCATTTTCATTTGGATGCAGATTTGGAACAGATTTGAAAAGGATTTGAAGAGGTCTTAGGAAGACCTACAGTAGCCTACCTATTATTGAAAGCTATCTCATACACTTATCATTACGGGATTTTGGAATTGGAGAGGAGGCACCAAGTCTTTATCTATCCTGAATGGTTTGAACCAGCAACAGAAACAGTCAGTGGTAATAGAGCGATTGGTTTTTGACACTATTTCAAAACACAGAAACTAAAAGCAGTCCACTCACAATTAGCTAAAGAATCATTTGGGTGTTATCTATTCACTAGTTAACTCTGAAAATGCGGAAGAGAAAAGCACACAGAAAGACTAAAGATTAATTTCAAAGAGACAGTTAAAGACAGGAAGGATTTCTGGATTCACTGGCAAATATATTCAAATAGTATCTTCCAGAAAACAGAGGAACATTGTCCTCTACATCTACATCAAGCGGTCCTGATACTAAAGACATGAGAAATAATTTATTCTTATTTTTTTATTTGACTTTATTTTTGCAGGACAGAAATCCATTGGGATCATTCATCTTTTTCTCCTGGTCAGGATAAAACAAGATAAATGCAACATCACACCAACTTCAACAATGTCATCAAACTGAATTATTTACAGCAACAAAGTATCAAAGAATAAAACAGAAGTCACAATTAATAGCATACAAATGAAACATACAGCACTGAGGCTTTACCTAAACAAGATATGAGTGAAACCTTTGACGGTCCGATTTTGTCTGAAACTAGAAGAAAAATCTGAGCTGCAAATTTTTCCATCTTGATGAGTCAAAATGGGACGAACTCATCTTGCCTTAAACCGCAGTCAGCTACAAGTCAAGTTGGTACAGCACATTTCAGAACCAGGCAGGACAGAGTGCTTACATCATAAAAATATAACACAGTAAACAAACAGTAAACATTACATTTTGTTAAATCTCATCATCAAGAAAATATACATCAAATATATTGATTGGCGTTCCAGTTCTTATTAGCTCTAAACAGATGGTCTGTGTGTTTTGGAGTTCAGTGAACATGGAGTTGATAAATGTCCCTAAACTTGCTTTGTATTTGAAGACACACCAGAGCTTCATTCTGCGAATGCAGAGGGAGGCAATGAGGTAAGTGAGTCCATCTCTCGCAAATATCGATCAGGTCAACATCAAGTCGTGTTTGTATTGGATCTTAAGCATCTTAAGATCGATGCCACAGTTTCAGATTCACCCTTGAAGTTTTTATTTATTTTCGTGTTGTGGTTTCTTAAACTCTATCTCAAAAAAGATTTGTTCGATTTGCTCTCTAATGATCTATTTTTTATTTTTTTGCATTTTATATTCTTTTTGTTTTCCATTGTTTCTGTTTCACGTGTCATTGAAATAGAAACCTGGACCAAATTCTCTCCTATATTTGAAAAAAGAAAAAACTTCCCAAACCTAAAATGCGAAAGGTTTGATGAATTGCCAAATATAAATCAAAAACATTGATGTCAGAGTTGTACCCTGGAATTACCTGGTGTTGGGCTTATTCTATAAAATGTAAATATATCCTTTTTTTCTGTGCTGCAGGGTTATGTGGTTTAACAGACGCAGCTGCAGTTACTGGATAAAAGACCAGTGAGAGTTTAATTACCTCTGGCCAACCGGATGGAGAGGATGGCAAGCAGAGTGAGAGATGAAGGAAACGTTTCCATTAGCTGCGATTCCATTACAAACATGAGAAAAAAATGTCCAATGTGTCAAAAAACTACAATTCCACAATTGTTTACTTTAATTAAGAACCGATAAAAAAACCCTATAAATAAGTCATTAATACTTAATTATAGTGGCATCAAGTTGTTGATCATGTGACTCGCGTTTCCATTGCATGTTTGATACAGCCAAAAAAAAACACGTCATCCTCACACCAACTCTTTTTAAGGTAAAATGATGGAGTTTTTCCAAATCGGTATGTTTACATTAAGCAAATAGATATTCAAAATATCAAAATGTGCAATTATATGGTTGATAGAAATGCAGCCACTGGAAGTGACGAGGTTGAGATTTATATATTAGAAGGACAGTTTAGGCTTTTAGGCCATTAGAGGACAGACATGTGATTTAGAATATGGAGCTCAGCCACAGGAGGAGAGGAAGATCACCGAGAAAACGAGACTCATGAATGTAGCGAACAACAACATTCGGTTTCAAAAGAATTAATGCAAATGATTCAGTCCAGTGGTCCCTTCAGGAAGCATCCAACAGAAGAAGAACTTGCATCCTGTTTGGTACCGTTAGCCTGAAAAAAACCATCTGTATTCATAATATAGAGAACATTACATTATTTCAGGAAGAAATTTGAATTTGTAAAGGTTACGTGCTCTGAGAGACATTCACCCAACAAAGGCAGCAATGGTCACAGAATGAACGGCTATGGACTCTACAGCACACGATGCGGTAACACAAGCAAACCAACCACATGGCGTACATTTACATCTCATGTTCTATTTATTGTCTCCATATCTGAGCCAGTGTGAAAGTCCAACACAGTTTCTGTAGGCTGTTCTTACACATGAAGTCTCTTAACTCGGATTCTCAAATTTTTCTGCGTGAAATAAACAGAAAGCAGCAAAATCGAAACACTCAGAGAGACGAAAGGAGAACCAATCACAAAACATCTGCGTTTCTCTTAAAGTAACTTAAGATTCAATTGTTTTAATGCAAACGTTCACATAGTCGTTCCACCTTTTCATAAGTTAATTACAGGCCCTGCAATTAAAATTTTATTGACTCCCACCACTGGTCTTAATGCCAACAAAGTGAAAATGGAGAAAAGTGAAAGTAGTCTTACTACTTTAGAAAGGCTACATACTAGCTCATGTGTGTTTAATGTCTCCCAAACGTCTCTCTCTGTTGTCATAATTTAAACTCTGAGCTTTCAGGAAAACCCAAATTTAGCTGGATTTGACGACTTCAACAAACAGTCGTGTGAAGCATGTCGGCTCAGCTGAAGTCATCATTCGTCACCTCCGTCTCCGCTGGCTCCGGTCTGATTGAGGAAGCTGAATTTCCCGGAGTGAGTCATCGCTTCAGAGAGCGCCGCGCCACTTTTCACAAGTGTCCAACAGAGCGAGACAGACCTCAGAGTTTCTTTTTCTAATTACTGGTGTGGAGTAAAATTGGCTGCCTCTGAAGTACTAGACTGCAGACGTTAAGCCGTTGTTGTGGTCGAGGCTGTCAGTGGTGGTCTCCAGTGGACAGCTGAGGACCAACGAATTTTGATCTCAAAGTGGGTCTATAGACATCCAGACACAGAAGTTCTGTGACATGTATCCTTCCATCTAATTTGAAATTGATTGTACTTCTATATATTCAGCAAGAAACACTTTAAAATCATTTAATCACTCGTTCTGGTGCAGCGCAGTTCGTTGTGGCCTCCTTTAGATCAAATCTGTTCAGGCAGAGGACTCTTCCACTGAGCCATCGTTGGTTTGGTGCGTCATGTATTTCTCACTTTGTTAATGTAAAAAAAAACAAACACTGAAGCAGTTTTTTTCTGATGTGGTTGTTTCACCTGCCAATGCAATCGTTGAAATCCTCTTAAGTGTACCAGCTGCTGCTGTTGTCTTGAACTCTCCTACCGTCTTATTCTGAGATAAAAACTAAGAACATTCTGCTTCATGATCTTACTGTGGGATGATGGGCTTTGGACAATCTGTCAAAGTCAGACACTGTTTTTGACTGTGAGCTCAGACATTCCTGCTGATTTTACCCTCACTGGGCATCAAAACTCTGTGGTGGAGATCAGGGTTTCCTGTGACTGTGGATCTTGATGGATTGTGCTCACATTGGAGCGAAGAGGGACCCTCTCCTCGGCTAGTCATGCAGGCTTCCTTCCCGCCTCGGTCGGAGCAAAGACGGACACCGGCTCCCGGGTGGTGTTGCGGGCGCTGGTCACGCTGTTCTGCTCCATGCGGGCCCGGCAGGGCAGGCAGAAATCCCTGAAGCAACGCTTAAAATTTTCATCCAAAAAGGCGTAGAGGACAGGATTAAGACTGCTGTTGGTGTAGCCCAAGGCGATGCACAAGTGCCAGCTGGCTATGACAAAAGGATTTCTGGTGTTGATCTCCACCATCGTCCTCACGATGATAAAGATCTGGATGGGGGTCCAGCAGACGATGAAGGCTGCCACCACCACCAGGACCATGCGGGTGATTCGCCGCATGTTGCGGTCTTTCTCCTTGGAGCCCGAGAGCAGACGGACGCTCCTCAGACGCAGGATCATCAGGCCGTAGCAAACAGTGATGACCATCACAGGGACCACAAAGGCGAAAATAAAAACACAGATCTTGGTCACGGTGTCCCAGTACCAGTCAGGGTCAGGAAATTTCAACATGCATGTAATGTTACCTGAAAGAGAACGGGAGGGAAAAATCGATTTGATGGACTTAAAGCTTTAAGGTGGACCAGAGTTCGTTTTTTAGTTTGCATCAGAATTGGATTATGTGGTCACACTTCCTCAAACGTTTGTTTGCATAGAACTGAAGTTTGATTCAAGCAGACTAAACAGGGCTGGTGTGAATTTATTTATGAGCACCACTATTCCCATTAGCTTAAGTGCCTCCAGTGCCAATAATACCAGAAAATTAATTACCATTAAGAACAACAATAACTAACGCTTCAAGAAATCTAAAATGTCATTAATAGTGAAAGAGACCGTTTCCCTACCAGCCTCGTTCACTCTGGTCACAGCCATAACCATGATCGGCACCCCAATCGCGGACGACAGGACCCATATCAAGACGTTGATCATCTTAGCCTTGACCGGTGTCCGAAAGCCCAACGCCTTGACGGGATGGCACACGGCGATGTAGCGGTCCACACTCATCATAGTGAGGGTGAAGATACTGGTGAACATGTTGTAGTAGTCAATGGCAATGATGAGCTTGCACAGAGCCTGTCCAAAGGGCCAGGTGTTCATCAGGTACTTTGCACTCTGGAAAGGCAGCGTGCTGGTGGCCAAGGCATCAGCCAGGGCCAGGTTAAAGATGTAGATGTTTGTGGCTGTCTTCATCTTGGTGTATCTGGTTGGAACAAAAATGGATACAAGAAAAAGAGAAAGGTTAAATCAAGCAGCAATCTTACAATAGTTGGTTATGGAGTGTAGGACAAACATTGAGGGACAGTTTGGGAGGATCGATCTCTGTATAGCATCTTTTGATGTCTTATAATTATATTTATTCTCTGTGCTCACCTCTTTTGTTTGTCAAAAAATCTACAAGTGATCAGAAATTGAGAGCTTGTTCAGGAGCAAAACATTGGACTTTGAGCTTTAAAAAACATGTGGAGATGAAGCCGCCGCCATCTGGTCGAAGGGTCAGGAGGAATGTTCAAATCAAATTTAGAAAAGGTCACACCGACTTTCTGGCTTTAAGGGTTTTCTTAAGTTTTCAGACTGAAATTTCAGTAACACATGGAATAACACGTTATGAATTATGTTACAATATCAACTTACTAGAAACAATATAAATTCAGCATTGTCTATGCAGAAGCTTACATGTTTAAAAGTATTCATTTAGATTTTTCCATCTGGGAAAAGGATTAAATGTGTCAAGACCTTTTTTGTTACTGAGCTGTGATTTAAGAACAAGCATCTTGTGTAATTTAACATTTTGACTTTAGAAAACAAATTGGAAAAAACTCTCAATTGCCAATAAAATATTTTGCTGCTAGGATGAGGCGTTTTTTCTGCTCAATCAAACTTTATTTCACAAAACTGCAATCGAAGGACTTGTTTCACATCGCATGCGTCACATGATCACTGCCACCGGCGCAAAGAAGACACCAGGAAGTAGCCAGAGGGTGAAGGTTTGATGACCTCACTGTGTGAACAAACTTATTCACCTGTGATTTTAACTGCGTTTGCGATTCGACAAAAACACCACAATCGCAAACTTGCACTTCTTAAACATTTGCAGAATGTAGACAAATGTTTGCACACATTTGGAATGGAAATGTAGCTTCTGTTTGATTTTTAGAACTCAGTCGTCCCTTTTGACCTTCCTCTGGTCTCTGGACACCAGGAATCAGTTTGCCATTTGTCACACTCCTCTATTGCTTATGGGTTTTTTTCCCAACAAGTTGATCACTACAGATTTATTCTTTCTTGTTCTGATTCATCACCTCTAAATTTCCAGAGTCCTCGATAAGGACCTTTCGTCTTGTCGTCATAAAAGTACCTCTGCTGTCCTTAGGCAATCTCATTTCTTACTGTGGATGCCCACTGAATTGACTTCAAACGGAGGCCACTTCATTCTGAACTTTATGAGCAATCGACTTCATTTTCTTCTAACAAGCGTGGCAGCGGGAATGTGGAGGACCGAACACCTCCAAGGAGTTATTGGTGCTGCAGACTTAACCTGCATTTAGAGCGGGCCGTCCCCAGAGATGCCAGTGTGAGCCTTTCCACTAGCAATCAGACCAAGGGCTCTCAGCAGCGCCACCGCCCAATGCCCAATCCACACTGACGTGAGGATCCATGCAGATCTGCTATAAATAGTGCTTGTACACATTTTAGTGTTTGGAAACGGGCATCTGAGCGAAGGCCAGAATCCAAAATTTATGAGGCTTCGCTTATTTACATGCAGCCAGGGGAAAACGACTTACGAATGGATGTTTTTTTTTGTTGTTGTTTGTTTTGTTTTGAGGGGTTTTTTTTTTCATAAAAAAGCTTCTGATTTGAATCATCTCAGATTGAAATGTCATTCACACCTAATGGTTTATTATTCCGGATCTTTTCCATTCTGTGTGTTTTCCTAGGCCGTCATGTTTACCTGCAAAAATGTTCATTTTGCTTATGTCAGTAGCTTTGGGTTGGATTTTATTTGATTTTGATTTCATTACCTTCTCAGAGGTGATATAACAGACTGCTTGTTGCACAAATATCAGAGCTCACATCTGCAGCAGTTACATAACCTCGCTGATGCATTAGCCAAATAAGACATTTATTTATAATGAAGGTCAAATGCTTAATGGTAAAGTTTAAAAATTTCTCACCAAGATTCAGTTAGAAGCTTTTAAGCAGTAAATATATTCCCAGCTAGTTGATAGCTGGTGTTCATCCATCATATTAGAAGGACAGAGTTACTGAAGCACTAATCTGGGAGTAAAGTCACACCAGACTGCACAAGAAAAACAATAATAATTTAACTAACCAGTTAATTGCTATTCATTCAAACTCTTATGACACAAATACAGCACTAAGCGTGAGGCCGAGGTAAAAACTCGCAAAGTAGTTCATGCCTGCAATTCTCACCATATTGTATAAGAAAAGCAGCCATATTGGATCCGGGTTTTGTTTGTGTTTGTTGAAGTGGGAACATAAAAAAAAAAAAATTGTACCTACAAATACAGATAAAAGTAAAAATGATGTGGAAAAATGACGGCTGCCTGAATCTAAGCCGAGAGCTCAGAAGCTAACAGCAGCCGTTGTATTTTTACTTCCCCTTTTTACTTTGACAACCTCGTTTTACTTAATTATTTCGTCTGTCTTTGTCTATATAATGATGGTTTCTGTTTTACAGGATAAACTTCATAACTTCCAACTTTGCAACACAGGGAGGAAAAAAAAAACTCGTGTTTCTCTTCAAACTGTCATTACGAACAAAATAATAACCGATAACTCAAACCAGCAACCAATTAGTTAACCACACATTTCTGTTTGTTCGTTTGTTTGTTTTGCTCATTACTTCTTCTATTTGTTTTTTTTTTTTCACTCTGTTTTTATTGACTGCAAGGCCCTTTGTGATGCTTTCATTGTGCAAAGTATAACTAAAGGCTAATGGATTCAATCACTAACAAGTCCTCTCATGTGATTTTCATGTGAAATTCATTGGATTTGTTTTTTTCCTGTGCAGTACTTATGTGACCTGCAGCGGCTTGTCGAGGAGAGTTTTTCACCGCTGGACGACTGGATCCTGTTGGACAGGAAACCACTGCAACGTGACCAGAAAGATGTTTTTTCTTTCTTTGCTTATACTGAAGAAAATGTAGACACAAGGTTTCATTTGAACTATTTCTGCCTTTACTTTTCAACAAACATTCACCTTTCTCTCCTGCATCAGCTAATTATTAAATATTCTTCGTTGTGACTCATATATTTTCAGGCTTCCTTATATGCATTTTTATGGCAGTACATTTGCACTGTGTGGCAGATTGATTGATGATAATTATGACCTGGCAGCATGCGTTGCACCAGTCTTCATAAATCTACAGAAAGTACAGTTTTGAGGATTTAATCAGTCTTTCACAACAGTTTTTAAAACTGTTTTTAAAACTAAATATTCTGTAGACAGACTGGCTATTAGAAATTGAAATATTAAAAAAGGTTTTGTTCTTTCTTGGTTTAATATTTCCTAACAGTCCTTTTTTTTTGCTAAAAGGCTTCAAAACTTAAAAAAATAAATAAAAAACTAAATTTGAGCAATTGCGGTTTCTTATCAAGTCTTTCTGACTCGAAAAAATATTATATTCAAGGTTTTTCATTTCTTTTGTGTATTTATTTGTTGGGCTTTGAACTGGAATAAAATGATAATTTTTTCATTTTTATTGGGATGTTTTTTATAATCTAGAAAACCTAATGAAAAAGCACAATTGATCCAATTTTGTAAAGACTAATTTGTTTATTAAATGTTCCTTTAAATTCTATAATTATAATTTCATCTCTTTTCTGGTCTAAGACATTTTTGCCAAGATATTTTAGCAAAATAAACAAAACCAGAAAAAAGGAATCACCACACCTTTATGGGTAAAAGATGACTAAGGCCACAAAATACATTTTACAAAGAATGACAGGCCATTATTTTTAGAAGGTGATGATTTTCTTTTCTTGCAGATCATTTCCAAGGTCACATTAGAAACAAATTTGGTCAGATTTAGGAAATGATTCTGGATTTAAAAAAATCTCCATCACATTTTTAGGGGTTTTGTACACAGGGCCTCATTTTACTTGAACTAGAATGATGAAAATCAAACAATAGTGGTTACATTTTCTTTGCTTATTTTCTGCTGCTGTATTCGACTTGTACCAGTTTACTCTGCCAGACAAATCAGACCTCAGAAAGAATTAGTTCATTCTGTATGTGATTTAGGCAAGCAGATAAATGGGTGAAAATTATCTAGTCAAGAGTTTGAGAACAAATGTCTGACATCAAAGATCCAGGATCAGATTGTTTTCTCTAAAAGAAACTCATTAGCATGTTTCTAACCCACATCATTTATCACCATCATGACCCTCCTTTGGTCCTTCTTTTGTGTTTTGTTTCACACACAATTTTCACTCAGACCTCAGAAAAACAGAGAATCATTTCAAGTATTTGAATTTTCAGAAATGCGTGTTTGTTTCTTTTGTTTTTTCCTTCCTCATTTCCTCTGCAGATCTTGGCTTTCGTCTCTTTTTCCAGTAAAATGCCACCAGCAGCTGATCTGACAGTTTGTTTCTGCTGCCAGGTCCTGCTGCTTCTCCTCCTGTTTGCCTGTCCGCTGAGACCGCAGCGTTAGAAAATAAATCTGACCGCCCTTCTGATGTGCTGGCAGGACCAGCCAGTCGGAGTAGATCGGTTAACGGAGCCTGTTTCTAAACAGCATCCTCAGACAATTACGTTTTATGATCTTTTCATGAGAGAGTGTATTGCAGTGTGTTGTCAATGTTTCAATAAATTCCAATTAATGAACTTAAGTAAACAAAACTGTCAGTATTATTGGAAACTTTCTGTTCACTATTTCAACTGTTTAATGAGAAAACTTCATTCAGTTTATTAATATAAATCCAAAGTTTTTCATTATGTGGCATCCTGAAGAAAATTTTCTCTTGTGTTTTTCAAGAACAGTATTTGTGTTTGTGGTGCTAAGATTGCTTTCTATACAGAAGAAATTGTTTTTCAGCTAATTTCTTAAATATTTTCGTCATTACGATACAGCAAATATTACGATACAACTCATGGCCCTCTCTGGGTGGCTGATGATGAAGTCTCTTCATCATCACATGTTCTTGATGAAGAGAGTTCATCCAGGAACAATAGGATCCAATGCATGCACACAAATGCACATCGTGATGTAATAAGATGAGATTAAATTCAGGAATATTTCCTTTCACTTCCTGCACAAACCCAATCCAACCAGTCAGGCTGTTGAGGTCAGAGTGGCAGGTGCTGCTGAGCAACTTCTAATACAAATGCATTTTTCTCACATCGAAAAGGTTTTATTTTTAGTATTTTTTTATTTTATTTTCTTGTAAGATTTTTCTTTTCCTTTCATCTTGACATTAGATAAATAAATCAGAGTTGGTTAATAGTACAGAACTTTCTGTTTCCCTGGGTTGTGACTGTAATGGGACACACACCTCCTGTGAGCCACTGATCAGCAGGACTCGTGTTCATCCTGCCTACAGATGCAGTGAGCAGAGGAAGGTCGCGGCACGCTGTTAAGGAAATGCAGCAAAGAGATGATTGTTGGGGGTCACCGTGTCTCCATAACAACCAGCAGACACTGTTCAAATGCCAGCTGGGTGTGAGAAGAAAAATCTGGCATTTCTATCCTACCTTAGAAAAAAAAAATGGAACCATGAGGAAGTTGTGAAACTCTACTGGGAGTTTGACCAGCGCTGCTGACTGCTTTGGTCAGGTCAGATGAAGAGTTTTTCAGTCAGAATAAATCAGAGAATCACATCTTGAAAATCTCCTCATCCTGTTTTGTTTGTTACAACAAATTCATGACTGGATCTGCTGGGTTTCCTTAAATGGAGACGCTTTAACCAATTTTGAATAATCCAATCAGTTGAAATACATCTGATTACATTAAAATCATTATTTTCATTAAGTGCCTAGAGATGACATTTGGAGCTATTTAAGTAAATTAAATTGAACAAAATTTTGTGCCGTGGGTCAAAGTCTTCTCTCAGAGATCCCTGAGGATGCAGTTACCCTATAATGTTTGAAATAATACTGTGGTCAACTCTTCCAGTTACATGACAATGAGCCATAATTGGGTATTTTAACAAGTTGATTTAATACATATGGCCACTTTAACACAGAAAAGGTTCATCAGACTCAAAATTAACGTTCTTTCATCATCATTAAAGACCTTATTCCTGCAGAACAGATGAGAGGAGACACTGAAGAGATCTGTCTGAGGGCTCCAGCCACAGGAAAGCAGTTTTAATGAGACACCAGAGGTTTTCAAGGACTATTTCATTAAATGGACTCAAATTAATAAATTGGAAAAGCTGGACATTTTCTGACTTCAAATAAAAAATCCCACATTTTTAAGTGAATAGTTTTCATCCCATTTCCGATCACTTTATACACACGCCACTCATACTTACCTGATCACTCCGTACATGACGAGGACGTTGCCCAGCAGACCCACGACGCAAATGACCGAGTAAAGCGCCGTGATGGACACAGCGATGACCATACCCCCGGCGCCCCTCACCGGGCTGCCGGGCTCCGTGGCGTTCAGCCCGGCCAGCTCCTCCGGGAAGGTGACGTTAAAGGGGATGACGGAGTACAGGTCGGACAGAGAGAGCTGCGCTGCGGCTCCGGGGACCGTGTGGGGCTCCATGTCCGCCTGGTCACTGCTGACTGTCGGGATCTAACGCCACAAGTGACGGAAGCAAAGAAAACCACAAAACAGAAGCAGAAATGAAAAAGAGATGTTCTTCTTTCCCTCCTCTCACTCCAGAATCCTAGAGGAACAGAAAGATGTCCTCGAGGCAGCGGCGGGTTTGTGCGCGCGCTGCGCTCCTCCTCTATGGTCCGCCCTCCAGCGCGTGCAGTCAGCAGCTTCTGGTGAAGTTTGGAACAAAGATGAAGAGATATTGTTCTGCAGGCGTTGTTCACCACAACACCATCCATCATCCATCCATCATTCATCCATCATTCATCCATCCATCCATCCATCATTCATCCATCATTCATCCATCCATCCATCCATCCATCATCCATCCATCCATCATTCATTCATTCATCCATCCATCATTCATCCATCCATCCATCATTCATCCATTTATCCATTGAAACCTAAAAATCCACAGAGACTTAGGTTTCATATATAAGCCCTTCTAGCATAAATATGCAATATTTGTTTTAAATATATGGTTTATTTATTTATTAGTGATGTATTTATTTATTCATTTTTATTTTGATCTTTTAAGTAAACTCAGAGCTCAGTTGAAGTGTGTCCAGTCCAAGAGGTCTGCAACCTGCAAGTGGCTCTTTGGACCTTCAGCAGTGGCTCTGTGTAAAAATGATTTCAATAGAATCATCTAATACATTTTTTTCCCCAACTGGCTCTAAAAATACCAGTGGTATTACTTTAGTTATATTTTTTGTGTGCCATCAAGCTGGAAATCATTAACTTTTTTTCCCCCCCCCCATTTTTATTTTCCACAAATCTAAACATCCCACATGGAGGGAAGCATATCTGACGCCTTTTCTGCAAATGTTTCATGCATTTCCTTTATTTTAAAACCTCAAAACAGCAGTACGATGAGGTTCTTAAGAAATGTCAAATTTTCTGAACTTTGACAACTTCAAGCGTTTTTTTTTTCTTTTTGTTCTTTTGTCTCTTTACTTTTTTAAAGCTCTTGCAGCATTTTCAGCTGTAAACACATACTCTACTTCATCTGTGATGAAGTATATTTTTTAGCACAATTGAACTGAACTGAAAGAAAAAAAACAAAAACAGTTTATTATTGGAAACAAAAGGGAGAAGGACTCCACTGGCGCAGCAACTTTTGAACTCTTTGTTCTCATATTTGCAGCCTGTGGAACAGTCAAAGTCAGACAAATATGCACAAAGCTGTGAGCATATTTGTTGTTTCTACTTGGAAGCTGTGGGCAGCAGAAAACACAGACCAGGATCAATAACCCTCCTGTGGACTAATTAAAAGGTGTGTGTGATGCTGCAGAGAAGGAATTCAGTCTCAGAGCCTCTTGCTGCACGACCAAGCGACCGACGCTTTGCACGTCTTCTGAACCTTTAGAGACTGATTTAAATGGTAGTTGGAAACAAGAAGCATGAAGATATTTCTACAAATTAGATATAAAATCGTTCGAAGTATTTACTACAGAAAACAGGAGGTTCCATGTAACCCATGTTCATTGTGTTAAATAATATATTCATTGATCAGAGATGTCACAACCTTTTTTCTATTTTGTCACATTACAACCCAAAAAAGAATCCAAATCCAAATTTGTCTTCAAATTCATATAGAATTCATACTGATGATAAATAATAATATGATTTGTTGCATTTTACTTTGCTGATAAAGCCACGTTTGTTTACATAAAATGCCAGGACGCTTCGGTGAACAAAAGCAGCTCCATTTATTTGCCTTTTAGCACAAATAGCAAATCACACAACAGCAACTCAACGCGTTTAAGTCTGCAGGTTTACAAAGCTGTGAGCACCTACAGAGTGAAAAAGAGGCGCAGAAGTCGGAACTACGCGTCACAGAAAAAAGAGGTTTTGATGACGGCGTGGTGAACGGCCTGAGTATTTCAGAAGCTTTTGGTTTGCTGGGGTTTCCACGCCAACGTGGGGAGATTCTGATCTGTGAATGCAGAACGACGCACAGAAGAGCTCAGAACCGCAGACTGACGTTCACACAAGCTCACCAAACATGACAGTAACAGATTGGACAAATGTTGCCTGGTCAGTTGAGTCTCATTTTCATCAGAGTGAGGTGTAAACTACATTAAAGCGTCCTGCTGCTTATCGACGGCTGTTTTCACACCTGAATCGGTTTGATTGTTGTGTTTTTAGCTGCTGTGGTTCTCATTTCCTCTGCACTGTGTCAAACAAACCAAATCCTTTGAAAACCTGTTCCCCTCCTCGCCTGTGGTGGCGCTGCACCAAGAACCACTGAAGAAAACAACATGAAAGACGATGAGAACAACTTCCTTTTTTACAAAATGGAATCAAAAGTGAAGTTGCTTCAGATTTGACCGGTTTCTGTTTTGTCTTTGGTTAAAGACCGCAAGCGATTTCTCCCACTAGAACTAGAACTTTGTTTCAGTTGTGTTTACCCAGAATGCCCTGTGCTGTAACGCACTTTCTGTTTTTGGAGCTGCTGCTCAGAACCACGCCAAGGTATTCTGTCCACTCTGCGCAATGACTCAGACATGTTTCTGGCTGATCTCAGGAGGTCGCGAAGAAAAGTCGACTGAACAGCAGCAGCGGTTTGCTCATCCAGAAACTCAGGCCCATCGATTGGGTCAGGCCTCCAGTCTGTTATCAGCTGCCACCAGTTGGTTCTAAGGGCCTCACCAAGGGAAAGAGGTTCTCTTTTATTAGTTCTGAAATAAAAACATGTTGTCTCAAGTGCTTCAGAATTTCCATTAAGGCACCGCCGCGGCTCCAGGAAGTCTTTGTAATTACTGCCCCGTTCAGCCATTCCTCTTCCCACAGCAGCAGAATCGGAGGCTTATTAGGAATATTTAAAGTGCCACAGTATGCGGCCTAACCTCTGTCATCGGTGTGTAATTGACCCGGCTGTCACTTTACTGCGCCTCTTTGTATTTTAATGAGTGCTGCTCTGTATTGGATTTTTTTTTTTAAATTCCCTTTTCTCTCTCTCTCTGGAATTGTTACCCATAATGAGCGTCAGTTCATTATTGCTTCTGGGTGGAAGTCATCTTAGAAACACCGACGGATGATATTGTTGTGCATTTCCATCTCTGGACTCGTCTCCTTTCATTTTGGAAAGTGATTTCTTCATGCTGAGCAGACGTTCACGCAGAAAATGATTATAGTTTTCTCTCCAAACTTGTGGTGCTGAGTTGAAACAGTTAGTAGTAACATAACACTGGGTTACGAAAAATATATTTTTTGGAAGTTGTCTATGTATTTTCAATTAAATTGGCGCTGTATAGCACTGGATCCAAAAATGACATCATTTTTCTGAATCTAATTTGATTTAGAGAAACCTGATGTTCTGACGACAACTGATGACATTTTTGTGATATTATCAGTTCATTTCTGTTCATATTTATCATTCAAAAAAAGAGGCTTTAGGAGAAAAAAAACATGTTTTCTAAGAGAGTGTGTTAATTAAATGTCACAAACTTGGATTTCTGTAAATTGAATAATAAACACCGATTAGGATAAAAACATGTTGCTTGAATATCTTTGTGTAAAATTCTCTGTCTCTTCTCTCTCCTCCTCCTCGTCACTCTGATTCTCAGATTCTCATGAAACTGATCCAGATGTGATAAGAAGCCCTGCATATTGACGCTCATGTTGCTTCATAGTCCAGAAAGATGACCTGATTGAGCAAATCTGTTCAAAAACAAAATGTTTAGGACCATGTGAAATACAGTTTCCCCATGTGGAGAAGAGGCACAAACAATTAAAAATTTTGATGTTCTAGAAAGAGACGTTCTCATCTTGATTTCTGTTTGTCAATCCAATTAGTACAAGCAAAGATAGCTCTGAATGCAACCAGGAAGTAGGGACTCCTCTAATCTGCTTCTTACAAGTTGATTTTCCAAACACAATATAGTCTGGCTGTGACCAAAAATTAGTCCTATTGTTTCTGTGCACAGAAACTCAATAGGAGTTAATAAACTAAAAAAAAAAAAAAAAATGGGGGTGGATTTTTATGTTTTTGGGTTTTTTTTTGACAAGTTCTGACTCGGCCAGAGCCAATTCTGATGAAAAACGAAGCTCTAAAACAGACAGAGCCGAGATCACTGACCAAGCCTCAGTATTTGGTACTAATGAGGATCTATCACTCTCACCTCCAAGGGTTTGATCACATGAAGAGACCTGGATGTCACTTCATGTAAATAAGTGAGGCATGGAGCTGGAAAGGCAGAAATGAACATCACCTGGTTTTACATGAAGATGCGTCATATTAACCTGGCTGTAAAATCTGGGTTTTATAAAGCAACAAATCAATATTTGTCCCACAGGCTCTGAGAACATGCAACTGTCTGGGTTTTATAAAACTAAGAAAGGAGGAAAAGTAAATTTTAACATCTTGACTGCAGGGGGCTTCACTTCCAGCTCCTAAATGCAAACTGCAAATCATGAAGTGCCTGAAAATTACATTTTAAGTTACCTGATTATATCAAAATGTATGTATTTATTCATTTATGCATTTTAAAGCCCTGTTATGTGGAGCAGCAGTTACAAATTAAAATGCCACAAACACTTTTTTGTAGTTTTAATGTGATTACTTTACTAAATTACTTTACTAAAATACAACTACACAGTGTTTGTGCTGCACTGCAAACACATTTCTGATACGGTGTAAAAGCCTTGCTACTGTTGAAAGGGAAAAAAAGACCAGGCAGCCCTTTGTCAACACATCTAATAACTCCTAGAGCCACAGAGCAAAGCTTGAGGGATAAAATCCCAAATGAATGAGTGAATCAAATATGGAGATCATGAGCAGCAGCAGCACATCATCTGTCAAACGTAGCTCTGCTTCTGCAGTGGTTCGGTTCTGCCTGTCGGAATTTTTCTATTATTGATGATTTATTTATTTATGTATTTATTTTTGTGCGCAGTGCAACAAAACAGCGTTTTAGTGCTCCCCTTCTGATCCCAGCGTCAAATTGAACGTGACGGTTTTTCACCGTTCGGCCGATGCCGATCCCGTTGCCGGGACAACAAAAGGAGTGGGATATTAGCAGGTGTTGAGTTCATGTGAGCTGCTGCGCAACCTGA